TCAATACGATTTGTCAATGGGCCAGATTTTGTAACAGAGTATAGGGATTTATTTTTAATAATTTTAAAAAATCATCTAGATACAACACAATAAAGAACCCCAAACCCCTCCAGTGCCTCACTAGAGGCCGGAGAACCTTCGTGAAAATGTAAGGGGCGGTAGACAGTCCAAAGGGAAGGACCAGAAAAACAAAATATTTCAATTCCCCATTAATCACCCAAGAAAATCCTAAGTAGGTGGTATGGCTGGGAAATATATCAATATGATGGTATCCAGATTTTAAGTCGAAAGAGGCCATAAAGTCCCCTTGCTTAAAATAATCCAGCGCCACCCTCCAATCCTCAAATTTTATCTTATCACGCCAAAGAAACTTATTAACAAACCTCAGATCTAAGATCAATCTCCTCTTCCCAGAACTCTGGATGGCAACTGAGAGAGGATTGACAATTTCAGGCGCAATATCGCACCTCTTTAACTAAACCCTTGCCTACAAGATCTAGAATGGTAGTAGTAACAAATTCAGCGTGTTCAAACGCAGATTTGTTATTGGAAAAATTAGCTGTTGGTGGTGTAGAATAAAAAGGTAATTTGTACCCTTCTAATATGATGCTTAGCACCTCCGGATTCGCATGTATAATGGATTCCCAAAACGAAGAAGACGCTTTCAATCTTCCTTTTACAACAGGCTCCTCACGGCCCTCTTCATACTCAAAGTAATTTCTCGCATAATCAAAACTAGCACTTTCTGCTGAAAATAAACTCAAATTATTTCTATCATGCACCAGCTTGCCTGAAAAAGAAAGGAACTGTTATCAACAGATGTAATAATAAAAATTATATAACCAAACAAACAAATGTCACACAGACACACATGGTGCACCATCGAAACGTAGTCAAATGTATAGCAAAATTATCGCATAAAATAAAAGGCTACCATCGAACGATTAAACGACATACAAGACAAGTCAACACTTATTAATAACCACAGAAACTAAAAAATATAAATAAAATTAAATAAACTGAGTTCACCTTGAACCCTACTGGTTTCGTGGCTGCTGTTGGGCGGAGCTTGGGAAAGGCGCTGAAGCCGGAGCGGCTCTGTTCCTTTGCTGATCACACTGGAAACGCCAGTGGCCTCGCTGCCCGCATCCCAAGCAGATGTCTTCTGGCTGGGGCACTCTCCTTCCCCCAAACCCAAACGTATCGCGTCCTGCATTAAAGCGGCGAAAATTACTCGCAAAACCACCGCTACCTCCAGCCAACTCACCC